CCCCAAAACCCCAAAACCCCAAAACCCCAAAACCCCATTTTGGAGTGAAGAAATTGAAATATTTAGAAATGAAGCTGATTGAAAGCGGTGGGTATAGTAAAGTGTTTAGGACAGACGATGGGTATGCTATAAAAATAGGTAAGTCCACTTATCCCAAATCCTCATTTAGAAGATCCCAAAATGGCCAAACAAAATAGACTGAGCAACGAAGCCTCGATTCTGAAGGAGATTCAAGGGCCTGGAATCCCAGAGATTTACGAGTACTGGACTGAAGAAGGCAAAGACATGATCAAAATGGAACTCCTGGGAGATGACATTGAAGTACTGTGAAGGAAACTTGGCGGCGGACTAGGGTACCAGTCAACCATCATGTTTGGCATCCAAGCTTTGGAAAGACTGGAGTATATCCATAGCAAAGGGGTTATACATAGAGATGTTAAGGATACGAACTTTGTCATAGGGATAAAGGATCCTTCAGTGATTTATTTGATCGATTTTGGACTTTCGGAGGTGATAGATAAAAAGTCACTGAATAAACACTACTGGGAGTGAAAGAATTTTGCTGGAAATATGCTATTCGCTGCAAAAGAGTAAGTCGCTTGTTAATTAGCCTAGGTCTCATTCAAATGGTAGCATAATATCAAAATAAGAATGATATTGAGAGTTTACTCTATCTTATGCTCTATCTTTACCAGAGAAAGAAAATAACGCCGATGTATCCATGTTTAAACAATATTGACAGCAAAGTTTTCCCATGGGGTAAGGACTTCAAAGAAGAGAGAGACGAGTTACACCTGAAATTATTTGAACTCAAAAATGACTTTGACTTTATTGAAATCACCTCGGATTTCCCTGATGAGTTTAGAGAATTTATGAATTATATCTTTAATCTGCAGTACTATCAAGCTCCTGATATGAAATTCCTTAAAAATTGTCTTAAAGAATGACTCCGAGTGAAAAATTATGAGTTAGATTATTCACAGTTTGATTGGATCAAGAAGAAGAAACCAAGAGTAAAATCTAAAACTATAAAGAAAGCTCCTTCTCACTCAATGAAGTTGCGAGGCCCTAAAGCGAAAAGATTGGCCAAATTTGAGGAGAAGAGGAATGTCAAAGATAGGCTCAGAGGGAGAATTGATCCCAACAATTTGTGGGAATTATAAAGTAAAAACACTCAACATTTTTAACTCCAGTAGGGATTTACTAAATATTATTCTTCAATATAGCAAGTTTATATAGGGGTTTTGGGGTTTTGGGGTTTTGGGG